TTATCTGTTAAAAGAGTTACGTAACAAGTTATAAGTTATTTGTTGCGCTGCAAGAGATCAATTAAAACCCGACTACTTTATTAGTGACCTCAGTGACAGTGACGCTTTTTAACTCGAGTTGCGATCTCACATGAATGCTAGCTGCCTGAAGATTTTTGCTAAACCTTGATAACGAATACCAGTAAACAAGACGTTTAGATTTAGATTTCCCACTGGCTAGCTTCAACTATATATTAAATTGACTATGGATAATAATTGAATGAAGGACATTGAAAATATTTTTTGATTGAGATCATGAACCGATTGATGTTAGACTACCATTGAAAACCTGGAAGTACTGGACGATCGTTTCATTCTAGTATGGGACTCCTCAACAGTGCTCACTAGTGACTGGTTTCAAGATGGATTTCCTGGAGTTCTAGTGAGAAGTCATGACCAGTGAAGTTCAACCGTGCTTGTTGTGAGGCAGTTACTCACTGAAGACAATGGTGGACTGTCGCGCAATATCCAAAGTGTTAAATCAATGTATTCAGTGAGAAAGCTAATAATGCCATCACTGCTTCTGAAAAAAGCATTAGTGAGTGTGTAAAATTAGTTGGTAATAATAAAAATAGTTCACATCCATACTACCACAAAAGACATGAATTTGAGGTCACTTAGAAAATAAGCACTTTGGACAGATTTGATAATACTGTGGGATAATGAGAAATGTAGGAGATACATATGTTTAAGTCAGATAATGTTACAATATAATAATAGTGACTGTATACAATAAAAATAGTTTACTCAAATATAGTTGTGATTAGTGTTAAAACTGGTAGGACAAACAAAAATATTAGGCAAACAAACGCAATATATTTACCACAGTAGGAACATGAAATGTCCTAAATACTGAAAATATTCACACATGAAACTGAAGGTTCTAGGTTCCATTTTCGCTTGCGGGGTTGTGAATGGGCGCTACTGAGGAATCCTATACTAGAATCGAACGGTCGTTTAGTGCTCCTAGGTTTTCGATGGTGTTTTGACTTCATGATTTGAAATAAGTTTGAAATATTGGACACCATCTTAGTGCTTTTAAGATAATGAGCTCACTGTGATGTATGTTCTAGATTCGACTTTGTATAGTGAAGAAGAATATGTATGTCTTTGTAAACATATTTCGTATCAAATGACTATAATTAACATCATAGATCAGTGTTAAATTGGCTGAACAATAAATTTACTGAAGATTTTGTTTTCGGTTTCATTTATCTTCAATAAAATTTGATTTTGATTATTTTCTACCAAAGAAACAGAGATCAAGATATTCAATAAAATGTTACGTAACTATTTAAGTTTAATAGTTTAAAGAGAGCAAGAGTGGTGTGGGTTACTTATATCTATACAAGTAGTATATAATGATGGTCAGGCATAGAATGTAAATATTGGATGATTATGTAATGAACTAACTGAAAATAGATTAATGGAGCCGGAGCCTTTGAAATAGAGGTCCAATCCACAAGGCAGTAGAGTAACGTCAGGAGATTCAGCCCTATGGTAGTCGGTGACCAACAATAGGTTCATACGCCATTTCTTCACTCACGATTCTGAAGCCTATGTACACCATTGGTTTAAAATAAGTACTTTTCAACTCTCCTAGATGAATCATCCACATCCACCAATCCTTTCTAAGCACCGATTGTTCGTCTTTCGTCCTTTCAACTTCGTAAACAACACCTCCGCCAAGAGAAGGCAATGAGTTTGACTTTCATGGTAGTGGCTTTATACACGTAGCCATATGAGAGCATTTGAAAAGGGAGAGCTAATTCTCCCCACACTCGACCATACTAGGTTATTTGAAGGCACCTAAGAGAATGAAATGAATTCATATTATTCTACATTAATCTTCATTCTTACTCTCTTTATTATAAATAATAGGAACAATGTGTACTCATTTTAATAGTTGACAATATGTCTATGAATTTAATACTTCTTTTTTAGGTATTTCCAAGTGTTTAACATATAAAAATGTAGACAAATATTCATGTAAAATTCATTGTTTGTGTGTGAGTGTTCGACTCATGTCTTGGAATTACCTGCTAGAACAAGTTACTCACTGAAATGTACCAACCCATGAATTATTTGAGATTTTCTTGTTTAATAAAATGATGATTAAGTATACTAATTTCAAAAGAACAAACAAACAAAGAAAGCAACATGAACAGTATATATGATATGTGAATTATGTACTTTAGTCTACTCCAGGCTGAATATTTCATGTATGTTACTAAAGAGAAAAAAGAACAAGAATTTGAACATGTTCTAAAGTGAATTTCATTAATATCAGTAAAATCTTTACAGAGATTAAAATAAACTTTTAATTACTTATTAACTTACTTATTGACGCCTGTTAATCCTCGTAGAGGAGCATAGGCCACCCACCAGTACTCACCATCTAGCCTTGTCATGTGTATTCCTTTCCAGTTGTTATTCATCCTTTTCATATCTGATTCGATTTCCCAATGTAATGTGTTCTTTGGCCTTCCAATTTTCTGCTTCACTTCACGATTCCAAGTTAGGGGCTTGCCTCATGATGTAGTTTGATGATTTCCTTAATGTATGTCCTATCCACTTCCATCATCTTTTATTAGTGAATGTAAACTGTTAAGTATAATCAAGAGAATTTATTTGGTATCTGTAATGTAGTTCTGATCAATGTTGTATGTTCAGTTTTATTTTACGGATTGATTGTTCATTTTAGTAAATCAATAAAACAGTTCATTTTTCCATTGAACAATAAGGTATGTGTTCTATTTCAATAGAACAATGAGAAGAAATTTATAAAAAGGGACTAATTGCTTTATATGATATATCCGGGCGAGAATTATGAATGGTAACTTTTGAGAACTATTTATAGGGCAATATGATACATATATTTTTACTGTATAATTATTAAGTAGCTAAACTATTCATATTCGTGTTCCTCTTCTTATAAGCTTTATTTTCATCCATAAACAATTATCATACGATTGACCGTTCTTCAGTTATGCCCAATCTATTAATTACAATCTCCCACATTCACAACCACTTGTGGCTAGAACTTATACAAATGTTGTTTCTTATTTTGTGGTTTGATGTGGTCTGTTTGGTTTTGTATATAAACCCAATATATTTGAAATACATGATTCATATTGCAGAGGCTGAAATTTGTGTTCTGAACTCAACAAGCAAGGCTAGGCAAAGAGAAGGACCGATAAGGACTCTAGACTTCTCGTTCAGGTTTTATGTGTCATTGGTCGAGTTGATAAATCACTGTTCTCTAATTGGCGATATTTAACATTAACAATTTGTCTATATCTTTGTAAACGTGTATGCTTGAATCTTATTAACTACCTTACCTTGTTGTGTTTTACTTTACCTTGTCTCGCTATGCCTTGTTTCAATTTGACTATAAATTCACTTCTGTATTTGCTCGTTCACACACATTAACCTATCTGCTGAAAAAATTCGCTCAATGTGCTTGTAACTTTGTTATCTGTGCTGTCCCTTAATTAAACTGTAATCACCGCTTCTTATTGCCTTCTGAATTCAAACACTGCTGGGAATTTATATGCTAACGGTTATCAAAGTGATTGATTAACGAATTCTAAGCCACTACAAATCCATGAATATATATCTATAATACACAGTAAGGCATTTTGGAATGGTGGAGAAGATTTGTAGCTCAGGTGGATGATTTTGGTGGAGTTTCGTGCTCTGAGCTGGATGGTTTGGTCGTGGAGCTTTCATCGTTCTTCTGAACTTCAGATAGAATTTTGTGCTGATGATGTCGTTCAGAAGAACGATGAAAGCTCCACGACCAAACTATCCAGCTCAGAGAACAAAACTCCACCAAAAAGGCATTTTGGAATTCATAAGTTGTCTCTCCCCTTTGTATGAAACTTCAATGCATTATCAGTTTATAGTTCTCTGCTAATTAAACAGACCATCATATATATACGGTGAACAAGTCAATCAATTACTTTTATTACCCAACTAAGATTTTTATTAAAATGTTAAATTCACCAAAGCTCATTACAGTAGAGTAATTTCTGATTCAGATAACTTGTATAGTATGTATGTAAAAATTATATTCAACCAAGTCACTATAAGACATTAAGGAGGAAATTATAATGGTGAAACTTTTCATGTTTGATTATATTTCCTTGAAAAAACTTTGTCACTTATTTATTTTCAGAAGGGGTTTTGTAGAGATTTTAGTAATTTTTATAGTTGAAATCATGAGTCAATTGAAGCTAGACCATCACGAAAAACCTGGAAGTACTGGACGGCCGTTTTGTCTTAGTATGGGACTCGCGGGGTTCGGGATCGTGGATGCGCACTGCTGAGGAGTCCCACAATAAGACGAAACGGCCATCCAGTGCTTCCAGGTTTTCAGTAGTGGTCTAACATCAATCGTTTCATGAACTCAATCAAAAACCTAACAATCTCCACAACCCCTAAACTGATAATCACTTGATATTGTTTTACATGAATCTTCCCATTGATGTTTAGGACTGCAATTGATCGGTCTCTTTACATTTATATTAGATCTCTTTCAAATTGTCAATTGATCATGGTGACTAAAATTAGAAATTTAGAAATTTTTACAAGATTTTCTCGTATCTAAGTAAATTATTAATAAAATAGCCGAGCGTATGATGGACATACATAAGGGGAAACAAATTAAAAATTGCCTATGTACAATCCATGGATTAACCAATGAAATTTATATTCTATAAATGATAAAATACATTTTTACTATCTCACTTACACTTCATTTGATGGTTCACAAATCACACACCCACTCGCATGATTAAAAACTCTGGACAAACATATCCGTGTGTTTACTACGACTAAGATACAATTTAAATAAAACGTAAACGTTCTCTGTTTACAATCATATTCTCACGATTAACACTACAGATTCTATCCTGTCAACAACAGCAACAACAACAAAAAGCCCAACAGAATTCATAATGAAAGTATTGGGAATTTGTATTGTAGTTACATTAGTATTCAGTGGAATAAATTGTGTAAAAAGTAAGTATGTTTAATTGTTTCATCATATCATGTCCGGATGATTAAATGAGAGATAGTTTCAGTGTTTGTGTAAGATGTTAGTATTATAGACTAAATTGTTTTATCGGTTCTGATATATCACAAGATAAATGATCTTACAGAAGTCAGTATCGGTACCCTATTCGAAAAACAAAGTCTAATCAGACAATGGTAAATGAGCAATAAATGTGGTGTTCCTGATCAACACAATTCAATGAGGCTGTAATACATACTCTATTGATAATTTCTAAGCTAAAGAAAATTCTTGTGGTCATTGCTTAACGAATCTTAACTTAATTCGTTGTCACATAAAATAATTTTAGAAATATAGATGTTTTAATATTTTACATCACAGATTGACCTTTTTTCGGAGTGGCCGAGCGGTCTAAGGCGCCAGACTCAAGAGTGTTCTTCTGGGTGTTCTGGTCCACGATTTAGGCGTGGGTTCGAATCGCACCTCCGACACATACATAGTGACCTTTATTAGACAACCATTAAGGAAAAATAACTAATGGACAACTGCTTTGTCCTGATATGCAACTCCCCGTTAAAGTTGTAAATGAGCATTGTTGTGGAGTAAACAATTAGGTCAAAGCATTCTCAGTACTTCCTAGTTTTCAATAGTTTCCTAACTTCGGTCAATTCCTGATGAAAAAAAAATGCAAAATTAAATACACTAGATCTCTCTATAGTGCATATAGAAATTAAGAGTTAAGTACAATGAATATAAGTATTTTGTTGATGTAGTGAACATTTTATTAAAATAAGCCTTAAGAATCACAACAATTATTTGAACCACTGACACAACTATCTCGACGTAGTTCTAACTTCAGAACTAGTGAGTTAACGGTTACAGTTTAATAAATGTAGTGTATTGTTTAAGATGGATGAAGGTGACTGATGATTGGTTAGAACTTAGGTTTTGTGCTGATTGATGCGTCGTCAGAATTTCTTAGCTGTTCTTTGTGGGACAAATGACTCTAACAATATCTGGGTGATTTGGCTGAGCAATAGATAAATCTTAATATCAGAAAGGTTTTTGTGAAGATTTTATTAATTTCTATAGTTGAAATCATGAGTCGATTGAAACTAGACCACCACGGAAAACCTGTAAGCACTGAAAGGCCGTATGGGACTCGCGGGGGTCGGGATCGTGGATGAGCACTGCTGAGGAGTCCCATACTAGGACGAGACAGTCGTCCAGTGCTTTTATGTTTTCCATGATGGTCTAGCTTCAATTAACTAGTGATTTCAACTATCGATATACCGTAATGTTCAGATTTTCTGTTGGTTGCTTTTAGCTTGTGAATATGAGATTAAGCGAATTGCAATGTTACATCACTGATCATCATTGATACATCAGAAACCTAGTAAATTAAAGTAATGAACTGGAAAAATGTATTTTATCTGAGCTGTGCATTCTAATAATGTGGTCATACATGTGATTGTTAACTCATAAAAAATAATGAAAGTCACGTCAATGAAGGATCAAACAGACAAAAAGGGATCATTGTAAATAGGAGAGAAAAAATTAGCATGATGTGAAAAAAATAGGATGCTGTCAAATCATTCAATAAAGGTAGAAAGTAGAAAATGACGTTTGCCGATAGTTAAAATGAGTCATAGAATAGACATCAACCATACCTTTTAAAGTGTTGTGCAGTTATTGTCAAGAACGAATTCATAGATTTGCAGAAAGCTTGACTGTTCGCAAATTCAAACCCCTTTATATGTACAGTAAGTCTGCCATACCTATCTTCAGACTATTTTACTGCGTAGGGTGGTGTGACAACTTCCTACTCCATATTATATTAATTGTTTCCTCTCTTTTATTTACAAATAGCGCTTACCGTTTATTTGCACTTTTATTTAATTGACCTTTAAATGATTTTCATATAAAGTGCCTCGACAATTACATTCGAAAGTTCACCATTTTTTATACTCAGTAGCTAAGTGAATAGTGTGATAGCGTTTGAGGCGAATAGTACTGCATCCTAGTCCTGGAGTGAATACCAACTCAGGCGCCTTCGGTCACGCGCGCAAACGCTTAACCTCCAGAGGTTTTCAATGGTGGTTCAACAGCAATCGGTTCATGATCTCAATCAATAATATTTAGTTAATAATCTTTTTTTTTTCACTAGATCAATGGTAACATTTAAATGATATTCAGGATACATGTCTTTATGAAGCATAGTTGTAGATTTGTATTTGGATGTTTTGTATAAAAATCAAGTATAACAATTGTACCTTATTGCCGAACTCCTTAAAAATGACACTATGCTATTTATCTTTATATATATCAATGTGATAAATTACGAGTACTTTCTATTTACCTGTAACACAATCTTCACTAAAAGGAGTAGATATTTTAGTGTATCATAATAGGACTGTGAAGATTGTTGAATTTCAACTGATATCATGAACCGATCAATGTTAGACCATCACAACCCTATACTGATAATTATCATATGCTCATTAGTGACTAGCTTCGAGAGGGAATTGTAGGAGTTCTAGTGAGAAGCCGTGATCAGTGGAGCTAATCTGTGTCAGGTAGAGACAGATATCTACCTCAGACAATAGGAGATGGTCGCACAAAATTGTGGATTAGTTGAAGTTAGACATTAGCACAGTTGGGTGCCGTCTCAGTGGTCTAGAGGTTAAGCGTTCGCGCTATGGGCATAGGGTTCTGGGTCCGAGTCCTTCACACGGGGTCGTGGATGAGCACAGCTGGAACGAAACGGCCGTCCAGTGCCTCCAGGTTTCCAATGGTGGTCTGACATCGGTCGATTCATGATCTCGATTTTTGTGTATTTTTGTTATTTTCATTCCATTCTACCAACCTAACTTTAAACCAATTCATTAAGCGAATAATATTAGTAGTCACTCTAAATTGTCTGTGAAAATCGGAAATTGTGACGTATCATAGCATAAATTTTCAGATAAGTTAGGTTTTTTTTTACCATAAAATTCATTCTATTTCAGAAGGGTGTTTAGGTTCTTTTCATATCAGAGACTCATATAAGGTTGAGATTTAGGAGGACTGAATGTCGAATTACTCAAAACAGACCATCGTTCAATGCTCTCTATGAACTAATTCATTACGAATAAACTAAAACAGGAAGAAACTGGTACGCATACAGTAAGGTGGTTTGCATCTTTAAAGAAAGTGTTTTATAGTAGATAACAAGTAATATACGAAAAAGTAAAAAAAGGAAAGAGGAGGAGTACCTTTTGAAGTACGCCAACTTCGAATAAGAAAGGATTGGGTTACTTCTCTTCATACTTGATATACCGTCCTTTTTCAATATCTAGTAACATAGACAGTCATCCAGCTAATATGTTTAATAACGTAAAACTTAGAGCCGGATCAAAGGCAGAAGTTTAATCTTGAAAATTGTAGTGAATGTACTCTCCACGTTTATAATCCAAGCAAATTTTTATAAATTACAACAACTGTAGAATCCAGCGACTTCAGACATTTTGAAGTATCAATTTCACTAAAATCTTGGGATACGACTTTCTCTAGAACTTTGAAAAATCGGATATACTTGTCATGTTCTTATCCCCACTTAATTATCACGTGATAAGATCATTAATTAGAATATTGAATTGTTTGACCTTGGCACTGCGCCGAACCAATGACACGTCAACCGACAAGAGCAACCTAGAGTCAACTCTGAGTCTTTATTGTTTCTTTTCAAATATCCCTGCCTGTTTGAGTCCAGATCACAATCTCAGTTTCTATTGTATGAATCATGTACTTCGTACATTCGCAGTTTATATATAAGCAAATCAGACTGCATCGTACCATTATACACGATTAGGCTAAGAATGGCTGTGAGATAAATTGGGAATAACTTGAGTATAGTAAATCATATAATAATAGTCAATAGGTCAAATAAAAGCTCATAATAAAAGAAAATTGAATATACATGTAATAGTTATACAATAAGAATATATATAACAACGGTCCGAAAATAGATCTCAGCAGTTATCATTCACTTAATCGTCATCCGACTAGAACAATACTCTGTTTGTTGTATATGGACATTCAGTGAACTAATCTGCGCAGAACAACTCATGTTTGTATTGATGGAATGAATTTAACAACAAATCTTAAAACCATGCGATAATGTAGCGAACAAGAACACAGCTGGGGACAATCGAATGTACTTAAAAACAAAATTACAGCACATTTTTGTAAAATCTGAGAATTTGCAAAATACCAATCAATTGTCTCATACTTGACTGTTCCTTCTACAAATATCAGTCAGTCGTCTCAAACTTCATTGTTCCTGCATTTTCATATCAATCTCTTTATGTTCCCCTTCTTTCCTTCTCGACCTTCTTCTGCCAGTCATTCCCATCTTGAATATCATTACATACTACTCATGTCTATATAAGTAGCCCACACCACTATAATACTAAATTACTGTCATATAAATTATGCAACCAGAATTCCTAGATTTCTAATCACATCATTATTAAGACACAAATGAATTCACGATATAGATTGAAGGTAAATCATGTTTCTATGTAAGATATGCAATTATAACTAAATATTTAAGTGTTAGTCGTCTGATTAACTGTCATTATTTTCAGGGATATCGCCAACTAATACGGTACCTACATTTGAATTTTACAGTATCATACAAATGAGGTTGTTATTTTCTTATATAATCCCTTTAATATGTTATATGGATCTATGAGACAATTGAGCTTTCTAACAATTTTTAATGTAATTTATCAAAAGAATAGTAGACATTGACTTGTTCAGACCTTATTTTTTTGATTGATCTCAACTAATGTTCTTGCGTTGTTCTTTTGTACTATTTAAACTTGGATTCATTTTGATTCGGTCATTTATTCTCTGAAGAAGTGGCTTACATTGAGTTACGAAACGTCAAAAAATTCTGATTCTTCTACTCATTGGCATATCTACAAATATATTATGCTTCAGTATTGGCTGAAGTTAAACATTG